AAACGATAACGTCGTCTAAATATCATAAGCAGGTTGACCATTTAAACCCTTGGAGCAATGAGTCCATCATTCTTTCGAATGTGGCCGGCGCATTACAGAGACCAAAGGGCATAACTTTGAAGTGATAAAGCCCGTCAGGAGTGAGGAATGCGGTCTTCTCATGGTCCATCTCATCCACAGCGATCTGCCAATAGCCAGATCGAAGGTCGATAGTGGAAAAATACGTAACACCGTAAAGGCAGTCTAAGGCATCGTCGATTCTAGGCAACGGATAAACATCTTTCTTCGTAATTTTGTTGAGATGCCTATAATCTACACAAAAGCGCCATGTTCCATCCTTCTTTCTGATCAAGACGAAAGGAGAAGCCCAGGGGCTACAAGAGGGTTCGATTATGTCATTTGCAAGCATCTTTTTGACTTCCTGCTGTATGACTGTGCGCTCGGACGTGGAAACATGGTATGGACGTCGGTGAATGGGACTTGCGTCACCAGTATTGATGCGATGGGTAACAACACTCGTTCGGCTTAAAGCCGTGCTGGCGAAGTCGAAAATGTCACTATAGGACTCCAGGACGTGACGAAGGGCTTCCGCTTGATCAGGAGCGAGGTCTGATGGTACCATGTGGTCAACGTCGACGCCCAATGAACGTGATAGAGTTGGTTCATGGTCTGAGGTGCAGCGATCATCCACTCTGAAGGGTTCAACCGTATGGTCTTGTAGAGCAGTAATTTCGGCCAGGGAGATACCTTGTGGAAGAATTTGGGCAGTGAGGGCAAAATTGACAATAGGAAGGCATGTGCGGTTTTCAACGATTGTCAAAATGGTGTGCGGAACAGCGACGCCATGCGTAAGCATCACGGCATGAATTGGTGTCACCATGTAATCGCCGTCAGGTACAGGTGGTGTAGAGAAGAGGTCGATATGTGTGACACATTTAGGCGGAAGGCGCGCGAAATCAATGCAGCAAAGGCGACGTTGGGGTGGGTTGGTCAGATCAGAAAGTAGAGGCATTTCAAGGTCAAGACAGTCGGCTGAACAATCTATAAGGGCCAAGTGAGCGGTTAGAAAATCCATACCTAGAATTACTTCATGAGGGCAATTTTCTGTAACGGTGTAAACAACAGCAGTGATTCTATCGGCAATAGTCCCACGGGCAGAGCACATGCCAATAATCGCGGGAGTTCCCCCGTCGGCGACTCGAACGGCTCGGTTCAAGGCGGGTGTGACAAATTTCTTTAGGCGGCGACGAAGAGCAGCACTCATTATGGACACATGCGCGCCGGTATCGATCAACGCGCGCACAGGTACATTGTCTAAAGTAACGTTCAACAGATTCCAGGTGGTCGGTAATGTTACACGAGGATTTCTTGCAGAGGTCGTCGTCAATGCAGCTTCACCTCCAGAAGCTGCACTGCCTAGTTTTCCGGTCAGGGGCGCTGCGGTCGGAGAGACAGGACGGCGTTGTGGGGGCAAACGAGATTGACGGCGAGCAGGGGATGGTGAGCGGGCGTAGCGAGGTCTCGTCAGAGGTGCGGCAGAATCAGAGGATGTGGTCGGCATAGAGGAATCAAAATCAAATGTTGAGGACGACTGGTGGTCAGAAATGGCCTGGGTAGGAGGCCCATAGCGTGCCGGCGGAGCCCAGTGATTGCGGCAGTGGCGAGCAATATGACCGACACGTCGGCCATGGAAGCATATGGGCTTGTTGTCCAGTGTACGCCATTCGGACAAATTGCGCTGCCGAGAATAGTTGGAACCAAATCGAGGAGCAGAGGGACGACTATAAAAAGGCTCGGCAGAGTAGACTGGTTGAATGGGGTGTAGGCCGACGTTCAAAATTCTTGACGAATGACGGCTTGCATCAGTGAGATAGTGGTCGGTGAAAGATCAGGCGTTGGAAATAGAGTAGCTACTGGTTGGGCTGCCTCGACCTCACGACGAATGATGCGGGTGAGGTTGTCACATCGGAGAACTGGGCGGACGGAGTCATCACAAGAGGAAGTAGCAGTTGTGTTCGGCAGGCGCGTGATGCCATGGGTGACGCGGCGGGCTTTAGCTTGTTCTAGACGGCGGCATTCTGTCAGGATCGTGTCGATGCTCATGACATTATTAAAAACCAGCAGGTTGAAGGCATTGTCAGCAATCCCTTTGAGAACGTGATTAACTTTTTCTTCTTCTCACATGTGCTGGTCGACCTTGCTACAAAGCGCCAAGACGTCAAGAATGTATGAGACGTACGATTCAGTAGACGTCTGGGCGCGAGTGGCGAGAGTCTTCTTGGCAGCGAGCTGATGACCAGATGAATCGCCGAAAAGATCACAGATCCTCGATTTGAAAAGATCCCAGCTTGTGATTTCAGCTACGTTGGTTTCGAACCATGTCCGCGGCGTGCCGTCGAGGTAGAACACAACATTGGCGAGCATTAGCGTGGGAACCCAGCGATGGGTAGCACTGACTCGCTCGTACCGGTGCAGCCAGGAGTCAACGTCGATGGCGCCGTCAGCGGAGAAAGTTCCAGGATCCCGCAGGGGTGGCAGGGTGACGTAGTTTGTCGACTCGGATCGAGAGACCGGTGGGGTTGAGGCACTGGCAGTTGTAGTAGCCGAAGAGTCCCCGGTGTTGCAACCGCTGCGCGTCTCCATCGAGGTACGGGAGCCGTCCACCTCCACCAATAATGTTACGGGTAACTTATTTAATAAATTAAATACGATGCACCGTGCTCGGCGAACAAGATGGCGACAGTTCATCAACAACCAGCCACCAACGTCGTCTTTCTCTTTCTTGCAGACAGGCTGTGCCGGCTGTTGCGTATCAATATCATAGCTGAAATCAAGAAGAAGAAATAGACATTGGCCGGGCATGTAGCGCGTAGACAGGATAACCGCTGGTCGTTAAGAGTAAATAACTGGATTCCCAGAGAAGGAAAGCGGGTTAGGGGGAGACAGAAGGTTAGGTGGGCAGATGGGATTAAGAAGTTTGCGGGTATAAATTGGCAGCAGCAAGCTCAGCACCGGGTTAACTGGCGGAACATGGGAGAGGCCTTTGTCCTGCAGTGGACGTAGTCAGGCTGATGATGATGATGATGATACTATAGTGATGGGCGACTTTAATGCAAAGGTGGGGAAGAAGCAGGCTGGAGACCAGGCAGTAGGAGATTATGGCATCGGTACTAGAAACACCAGAGGAGAACTACTAGTAGAATTCGCAGAACGCAATAATTTACGGATTTTGAATACCTTCTACCGAAAACGAGGAAACCGCAAGTGGACATGGAGGAGCCCTAATGGCGAAAATAAGAAAGAAATAGACTTTATAATGAGTGCACACCCAGGCATCGTGCAGGATGTGGAAGTGGTTGGCAAGGTACGATGCAGTGACCATAGAATGGTACAGTCTCGAATTCGCCTAGACTTGAGAAAGGAACGACAGAAACCGATACGCAAGAAGTCAATCAATGAGCTAGCACTGAGAGGGAAAGTACAGGAATTCAGAGTGTCGCTTCAGAACAAATACTCGGCTCTTAGTGAGGAAACCAACCTTAGCGTAGATACAATGAATGATAATCTGACGAGTATCATTACGGAGTGTGCAGTGGAAGTTGGAGGCAGGGTAGTTAGACAGAACACTGGCAAGCTTTCCCAGGAAATGAAGAATCTCATTAAGAAGCGTCAAATCATGAAAGTCTCAAGTACAACAGACAAAATAGAACTGGCAGAGCTTTTGAAGTTGATTAATAGGATAAGGTACCCGACGTAAGAAGGTATAACATGGAGAGAATTTAACATGCTCTGAAAAACGGAGGAAGCGTCAAAGCAGCAAAGAGGAAACTTGGCATAGGCAAAAATCGGATGTATGCACTAAGGGACAAAGGCATAATAACTACCAATATGGATAAGATAGTTAAAATAGTGGAGGAGTTTTACAGAGATCTGTACAGTAGCTGGGACAACCACGACTTTAATACTATAAGAACTAGCAGTAACCCAGATGACACCCCACCAGTAATGGTAGAACAAGTCGATGAAGTATATATAAACATCCTGGAAGAAATCTACAGGGGATCAACTGCTACCATAGTGCTTCATAAAAAAAAGCAACAGAAAACCAATCAAGATGGGGGACACAATCTCCCCAATGCTATTTACCGCGTGCTTACAGGAGGTTTTCAGCAGCCTAGAATGGGAACAGTTAGGGATAAGAGTTAACGGAGAATACCTTAGTAACCTGCACTTCGCCGATGACATTGCATTGCTGAGTAACTTAGGGGACAAATTGCAACTCATGATTACGGAGTTAGACGAGGAGAGCAGAAAGGTGGGTCTTAAAATTAATCTGAAGAAAACGAAAGTAATGTACAACAACCTCGGAAAGGAGCAGCGCTTCGAGATGGGTAATAGTGCAATTGAAATTGTAAAAGACTATGTCTACTTAGGGCAGGTAATAACCGCAGAGCCGAACCACGAGATTGAACTAACTAGAAGAATAAGAATGGGGTGGAGCACATTTGGCAAGCACTCTCATATTATGACAGGTAGATTGCCACTATCCCTCAAGAGGAAGGTATATAACAGCTGTATCTTGCCGGTACTTAGCTACGGAGCAGAAACCTCGAGACTTACAAAGAGGGTTCAGCTTAAATTGAGGACGACGCAGCGAGCAATGGAAAGAAAAATGGTAGGCATAACCTTAAGAGACAAGAAGAGAGCAGAGTGGATTAGGGAACAAACGGGGGTTAAGGATATCATAGCTGAAATCAAGAAGGAGAAATGGACATGGGCCGGGCATGTAGCGCGTAGACAGGATAAGGATAACCGCTGGTTGTGCAGGGTAACTAACTGGATTCCCAGAGAAGGGAAGCGGGTTAGAGGGAGACAGAAGGTTAGGTGGGCAGATGAGATTAAGAAGTTTGCGGGTATAAATTGGCAGCAGCAAGCATAGGACCGGGTTAACTGGCAGAAAATGGGAGAGGCCTTTGTCCTGCAGTGGACGTAGTCAGGCTGATGATGATGATAATTAAAGCACCATAATTTGAATTGACAGCAGCCTATATTTTCAAATTTACACTGTTGCATTTTGATAATCAAAAATCAATGAGGGACTTGAATTTTGACACTAATCCATACTGTGATATGTTTTTCACAAAATACTTTATAACAGGCTTCACAGAAAATGTGTGCTATGTACATAAATTTATACACATTTGCTAGAATTCCTGTGAGATGGTGCTGTCTTAAAAATTTTGAGACAGCGAGACTGACGGCAGTTGAAAGCCCGACACATTTGCATATATCAGGTGTGATATTTGTGTGGAACATGGCAGTAACAAAGCCTACCTACCAGAAGATGACAAAATCAAAACACAGGTGAGCTACTTATCTCATCAAAAGATTACAGCTTGCCTGAAAACCTTTTGCTGTGGCTGCAATGCGAGTCTTTTGAAGCCAAACTCTTGCATCATCAAAACCCGAAAAAGGTACTGAGCTTGTTCATACTACCTGTGTACATTGATACACATACAGTAGGTCCACCCCCATAGCTTTGGTTGCATAGCCACAGGAAGTTATCCCAGCCACAGGAAGTTATCCCAAGTACAACAAAGCGTGAAGTAGCAGAAAAATCTGCTTTGTGTCACATTCAGAATGGGTAAAGAAAGCATTTCACTTGATCTGTATTACTAGATGGTGCCACCTTTCTGTGCGTTGAAGTTCAACCAACCACGATTACAGTCCATGCACTGACCATTCTTCACGCTTGTGATTATGGCCGAGTGGGTAGAGCATCAGGCTGCTGTAAATCCTACCACGAGACACTCCTCTAATAAGTTAGGAGGTGTCTACACTACAAGAGAAGAACGACTGAGCAGCCCAAGTCAGCCTAAAAGATCGCAAGCAAGGAAAGCTTTGCTTTAAAATATGAGCGCAACAGTTCTCATTGTTCATCCGGTCAACATTGCTGCTGTATTCTACAGTAGTGTCCACGTCTCTGAAAGCATTTGAAAGCAGTCTTTGAAAGCCAGAGTAAAAAAAACTGAAGATACACCAAATGTACAAGACTGCATGGGGGAATAGGAGGAGAGTCATTTAAGGCCTATGTATGACCACAGCCTTCAGGTCTGTCCCATTAAGGACAGAGTCACTCCTTCATCATGATGTTGTGGGCCTTGGACGTAGAATCAGCCGCCCACCCTAAGGAAAGAAATAAGAATTGTCAATGTAAATGATCCTACAATAACTCCCTGCAATAGCTACTCATAACACTGTTAATAAAGACAGTTAAACCTGCTTATAACAAACCTGCATATAACGAATTCCTGGATATAACAAAGTTTTTCTATTCCCCACTGTCGCTCCATAGGAGCACATGTATTTGCGACCTCTATGTAACAAAGTAACTGCGGGAGGCAACCTCGATATAACGAATTTTCCCCATGAACAATCTTGGAGTTTTGCCCAGTATACCGGCATTTTGGTACGAGCACGCATCTGCCGCCGCCGAAGCGGTGGCAGATAGATGCGGTGGCAGATGCGTGCGGGCACGCAGGTCACGTCCGCGTGAGGCGAACAGGCTGGCCTGCACCTTACCAGCCAGCGTTGCCCTCTTTCTCGCCGCCACGGTCGCATGCGCGGGTGTGCCCCCATCCCCCCTGTCCCAACCAAAATAATACAAGGAGAAACAAATTTTGAGCGTTGGCAGTGCCATGCTTTTAGTTAGCGTTACATATGTGGGGCCGCGCTGCATATGGAGGGCACTTTACCGAATAGTTTCCGCGGTAACCATGTCTGTGTCCATGTCGTTCGCTCTTCGTTTTTGACCCCGTGTGCACGTGCATAGTTTTACTGTGCGCGCATGGTGTAGTGTGTCTCCCGACGACGTTCAGCTTTGCTTTTTTTATTGTGATAGCAATTACGTATATAGTTTCGGCTGGGTTTTTGCCGCCGCCGCCTTCATTCAACGTATATGTATAGTATATGTATACGTACCTATAAACATGGAAACTTAAGGAGAAAAAAAACGCCCGCGCTTGGCACTCAGCTCGTCACGATGTGCCGATGGACGCTCATCTCCCACGCGTACTTTGCCCCGAGAATGCGGAGGGGGGAGAGATGTTAGATGCTTATGCGCATGCGCTTATCCTTCGGTGGGGAGAATCGCCCACCTTTGACTTTGACTGGAACGATTGCGTTTGCTCTTTTCACACAGTCCCTCCACGTTGAAACCGCACTGATACTCGCCAAGACAGCAAGCGCACCAGCGATCGCGACCGCCCTTAATATCCAAGTTCATTATTGCTACTCGAGCTATCCCCCCCCCCCACGTTGTTTCATGCTCGTTTCAGATTGGTGGTTTAGTTTCTGTTTGAGCATTAGATGGCAGTTCAAACACACAGGAGATGTTATGCACTTTCCAGGTGATAGGGATGGGCCGACTCATGTGATCTCTGCTTCAGCAGCGCTCACGCGCTGCTACCCGCTTGTGAAAGTTACAATGTACGGGGGCATGTTGTCAATTTGGAGTTGTTGCGGAACATGGCGGCGACAGCAAGAACTCGCCAAGAGTGTCCATATAATTGCTATCGCAATAATAATGCAGTTTTTTACTGTAAAATGAGTGTTCGGAGGTAGCTCTGCCTTGAGTCCCCATTTTGTTTAATTTGCGCATTTATTTTCCAAATTTTCGTACTAAACCTGCATACAACAAAAACCTCTTTATAACGAATGTTTCCAGGAATTTATGAATTTCGTTATATCCAGGTTTAACTGCATTATACATCCACAATGTCAGTCCATTTAGCGTACAACTTCAACAGTTCACTCTTGTCGCCTAAGGAAAGAGATACGAGCTGTCATAATGTAAATGACCCTACAGTAACCCCCTGCGATAACTACTCATAACACCATTAATAAATAGTATACAGCCACAATGTTAGTGCATGTAGTAAGCAACTTCAGCAGTGCACTCCTGTCTTCTACATATGAGTTTTAAAATGAATGCACCATGAACAGGAGCAAGATTTACTTTTTTATACTTTTTGCAACAAAATAAAACAAATCAAGTTTTAATAATAATGTGGATGTTATATACTTAAACTTGAGAGGAAATGCTGCACTCAAAATTGCAATGGCATTATAAAGAGCCATATAAAAAATTTAAAAACGTAAGAAAAAGCTCACACTACATGGCAACAGTAACACCGATCCTTTCAGGATCAATGACAATTATATGGTGCAGGTAAACTCAACTGGTCGATGACAAGTATTTACCCAGCCATCTGCATGTCTGAAAAATGTGCCACTTTATAAACCATCTTTTTTTTGTACATCAAATGTTCAAATGGGTATCTATGTCTGTATAACAGCAGAGAAAAAATTCCCTGAAATGTTTTTCACTTTTGGTTTACAGTCCAAGCTTTGTTTAGATCAAAATGTTAACGATGGTTCACATATTCGCACGTGCACCTGGTGGCGTTTGATATTATTTTGAGAACAGTTTCTGCAAGTTGTTTGAACACAAAAACTGATGTTTATGTGATTTGTAATTTCTGAAAAACTGATCGCTTGATGCTAGCTCTTTTATTGCCCAAAGGGGTGCGATTTTATCTGTGTACGGGTAGGTGCCGGTATACCTTGTTTCCTCGTACGTAATCGGCCCTTGCATTTTTCAGTGTTTCGGTGTGGGTGATATGTGAGAAAATATGTTGAACGATGCCACTGCATACAGATAAATGTTATAGTCTCATACCTGTGCGTTTTCTCTCTTGAGGATCATGACAGTTGATAGCCTCTCAGTTGTAATACCACAAAGAGCCACTGAAGTAGTTTCTCACTTATGTGGATGTTGGGATGGGCGCAGAGCCACAGTTTTCTTCTATATGCTCCTATATACCGCGATGATGATATAGGCGTGCATGCTGACTTTTCTGCCATGAGTGAGTCAAGCGGTGATTCCTTTGATCAGGCCTACTACCCAAATACCAAATTGGAGTCCGATTTATTGTATTTCAGCCGTCGATAAAAGAAATTTCTAACCAGCTTGAAATTGGAATATGACTGAAGAGCATTTTCTCAGGAGCGAGCATGGCACGACAGCTATGACTAGTACAAAAGCTACAGAAATTTGACTTAATCAGGTCATGTATCGTGCCTGTTTAAAGTGATATTTATCTAGCCTTCTATGATAATATTTTGAATGAACATATAGAAGGGTTGAATGTGAAACATGTTTTTAGGTACGTCGATGACTACCTCGTTATTTTGAAAAGTGACGCTGAAAACGTTCAAACATCTGTTTCATGTGTTTTGGCCCCATTTACCAAGTGCTTTAAGCCACTGCAGTTGATGCATGAAGTACCGACGAAAAAATTCTCTTAAGTTTCTTGACCTCAGGTTAAATTTCACAGTAGGACTTATTAGCTGGGTCTAGGTGCCAAGGGTCAGCAAACTCTTGCTCCTGTACCATTCTAATTGCACCAAGCTTGTTAAAAGGGGCATTATCGTGTCTTGTTTGAGAAATTCTCTATGAAAGCCTTGTTTGCATTTAACAAAGAGTACTTCAATTATGATTACTGTAAAATGCCGAGCAAGCGCCCCCACAATTATAACCGCCCCTCCCTTTTTCAGGAGATCTGAAATAAGAGCCAAATGGGCGCCAGTGACCGGTCCGCAAGATGAAGCAAGCGCCCCCCTCCCAAATCTGGTTGGATTATCCTTCACCATAAAGAGGGGGGGCTAGCTTGAGATTTTACGGTAAGACCAACAGGGCCCATATAATTTGACCTAACAGAACAAACAACTGCATTATTCAAATTATCACTTCAACTTAGCATCAACAATGACCCTCAAGCATGACAGCCCGGTAGATCACATACACTTACATCATCACAGGACATGTTGAAGTCGGAAAGAACATTTCGCACCCTTGAAACGATGCTGGATGTTTTGTACATGTGTCAAGGGGGCTAAACACACAAAAACAAAGCCTGAAAATTTCACCAAACATATGCAGCTATCCAAAGACACTAGTATCTGGACTTCCCCAAAAGATCAACAATTTCTTTAGTGTTAATACCTTTTGATGCCGAAAGTCACCAACTTGAAATTTTGGCCATTTATTGAGTAATCAGAATTACTAATAAGAGCCATGCTGAAAACTTTCCCACAGAAAATTTGCCAATCAGCACAACATGACACATGAGATACCCCCCATAGAAGATAATAATAAATAAAATAATGGTGCGGCTTGCACTAGGTGGGTCACAGCAGAGCTGGTGGGCACGTTTTAGTTTCTCTCACTGTCTGTACGAAATGCCTCGGCAGTCATTGAGCGCATGCTGGTTCATGATGATGATAAATTTATATCTACGATGCGGCAAACCTCGACCGTAACATCTCTTTTGTAAAAAGCAAGAAAAACACTTTCTGGGGTTTTTAATGTGGTCATTTGGTCGAATCAAATTAAATACCCCAATAAATTATCTGTGCACCTGAATTATGTATATGAAACTGTAGAGATTTGGAAAGCAAAAGGATACATGGAAGGAGTGACCACTCTTTTATGAATGCCCATCAAAAACAGGATGACTAAGATGATGCTGCTGATGGTGAAGAACATGTGGTTCATCAATGACTGCACAAATGTAGCCTGCAAAAACAAAAAAAAAAGAGAAAGAAAGCTGTGAGAACACCAGCCCCTTTTCAACTGTTTAAAAACTGAGGTAAGTACAAAACAGGATAACTTAATAGCATTGTTTTTTTACCTCAAATGTGACAATTGGGCTCAAGTTGGCAGTTTAGCAATGCCCTACAATCAGTTTGCAATTACAAACCACACTTCTATCAACATTAGGAAGGAATATAAAAACCGAACATCTTGGTGAGTAAAATAGGTTAGGGTGCATAGGTAAAAAATTAGGCAGATCCAATTTACCTTGAGAACTAGCATTATGCAAAGCATACAGATAAAAGGTAACTGTGTTGTAATTAGCAAAACGTTACGAATAGCACTAAAGATAAGTACAAATATTGAACACACAGACATACGCAAGGCATGTGTTGAGCAGTCGCATATTTTTAGTACTACAATTTGACAGCTCCGAAAGCACCACTCATACCGCGACACGACACCTGCAAGTGGAAAAATGCACGAATAGAAAACACGGGTGGAAACACCACCTTGACGTTCCTGCATCAAACATGGTGATGTCATAGATATTAAAGGCATCTACTGGGTTCTAAATGGCTTCTAATCGATAAAGATGAAGTACATCATAATCTGTGGGTGCCATAGGCCTAGTATACAAAGTTGCAGATAGTTTGATCGAGCCAATGTTGTGAAAATACGAAAAATACATTGAAAAATTTTTTATGCAACACGCGGAGATTTTGACGTGAAATTTTAAGATGAAAATTCAACCTTGATTTTCTCCACTAATAAAAAACTTATAGTAGTGAAACAGAACCCCCTACCTACAGATAAATTTGGTTTAAATGCAGATGCCGAAGCTTTACCAATCATATATTTTACTTAAAACATGTGATGAAGGAATCGTTTAAAAAAAAAAGGTCTGCGGTGTGACCTCACTGGTGACCAGCTGCCGGTAATGCACTGCCTCACCAGAGCGGAATTGGCCACCCTGGTGCCGTACCTCGGCACAACCTCCCATGAACACAGCAATTAACTCTTGGCCCACAGTCCCCAGCGGCTGCGAAGCAACTGTCCAAGGCGGCGGTCAGACCTGCGACGTAGCGTAGGGTGCTAAGAATCTTTGGATCCGGACAGGCCGCCATTAGCATAGAGTTTGCTAAAATTAGTTAGAGGGGATTCTGGCGCTGCGATCATTCAGCAACCATGGGAATGATGGGTAGTACACAGATTTGCCTAGTCGTCATACTTGCGGACGATGAATCGCACTTGTGGCTTCGTTTATTGCAGTGGTCCGGTTTTGTATTGAAGGAAAGAATGAACCCTTTTAAACTTTCTGACCCAATATAAAATGGTAAGCCTGAAATAATAAGGTGGTGAAGCGCAACCGCTGAATATTTACAGATTTTTGTTTTGTGAGAAAACAGCTCCAAGTCACACGAACATGCGCAGAGCCAGAAGTAGGAAGATTAGACAAATCCGTGTACTACCCATCATTCCCATGCTCGCTGAAGTGCCAAGCATTGCAGCTCCCATTGATACTAGCGCCAGAGTTCCTTCTGGTGTATATTTAGAAAACTCTATGGCCATTAGAATCCGAACTTGGCTGTATTTAATGCTAGAACACTATCTAGTGAGGCTAGTTTTGCTGTGCTATTCGAGGAATTAGAAGGCATTAAAGGGGATGTAATAGAGATCAGCGAAGTTAGGAGGCCACATGAGGCTTTTACATTACTGAAGAACGGACACATTTTTTGCTACCATGGATTAGTTGACAAGAACAAGGGGTGAGGCTTCTTATGTACAAGAATATCGCTGGCAACATAGAAGAATGCTATGAATAAGTGACAGGGTGGCAAGTATCATAACTAAGTTTAACAAAAGATACAAGATGAAGGTGGTACAGGCCTATGTGCCTACATCAAGCCATGATGATCATTTGGTTGAACACCTCTATAAAGACATAGAGTGAGCCATTAATAAAGTAAAGTCACAGTATACTATTCTGATGGGCGACTGTAATGCCAAACTAGGCAATAAACAGGCCGGAGACCATGCAGTGGGGGAATATTGTGTAGTCTTTAGAAATGCCAAAGGGGAGTTATTAGTAGAGTTTGCAGAACATAATAATTTACGAATTTTGAATACCTTCTTCAGAAAACGGGCTAACCGTAAGCAGACGTAGCAAAGTTCTAATGGTGAAACTAAAAGTTCAATAGACTTTATTTTGTGTGCACACCCAGGCATTGTACAGGATGTAGAAGTAGTTGGCAAGATTTGGTACAGTGACCATAGAATAACAAGAGCCATTCACCTAGATTTAGAAAAGCAATGACAAAAACTGATACGCAAGAAGCCAATTAATGAACTAGCAGAGAGAGAGAAAGCACAGGAATTCAGAGTTTCACTTCAGAATATATTCGAGGCATAAAGACAAAATAACAGACGTTAGCGTTGACACAATGAACGATAATCTTACTAGTATCATAAAAAAGTGTGCAATGAAAGTCGGAGGTACAGTCACTAGATAGGATTTTTTGTAGCGCAAGGCAAAATACGGAAACAGGAAGGGATAGAGTGACAGGACACAGCGCTACTTCCAACACATTTTAGCAATTGTGGATGGGGGAGGGAATAATAAATGTCAGTCACATCAATTGACAAAGCTTTTAGCCCTTCACTTTAATGAGCTTCAATGAAGCCCAAAATACTATTGGAGCTCTTAAAGGGCCTGTCAACAGGCTTCGGCTTTTTTTTTTTACATCCCCCAAACAAGCTCGCTAATTCGTAGAGCAGACCACAGCGATCATGTTTTCTGAATATTACAGAGCTGCACGCCACGCACGGCCTCCATTTCGAAAAACAATTCCCACGCTCCTTTCCTACGCCTGACTAATCTCGTTGCACGCGCAGTGACGGCAACTTGGCAATCGGTGACGCGACACAGCACGGAGCTCGTCGATTGGTCTAAACCAGGTCTCAACAAACAGTAGTGAATTCAACGACAGCTCCTGTTCCCACCCATAGCTACGACAGAGCTATTCAATCATAGGAGTTGCGAAACTCCCCATAGGCTTCATGCATTGAAATCGGGACACTTCACTGACCCAGTCTTTGGGAGTGAACAGATTTTCGTGCCACCTGTTGATAGGCACACCCACTATTAAGCGCATTATTTGTGTTTTGTGTTGCTGCTCCCAGATGGCATGACAGTCTGTTCCCAGAAAATAGAACTCCAGAAAAATTGGGCCAACTTCATATCCGAGTTTTGGAATGCAGTTTTGCTGCAAATCGAGCGACTGGGCTGCGGAGAAGCATTGGCACCGGGTAATCGGACAACAACCAGGCATCGCAGCAAGCGAAAGTGCGTTGCAACTGATCGAATTCACCGATGACGTCAATCGCTGACGTCTTGCCAAATTGCCGAAGTGGGGAGAGTCACGACGGCAAGCCATGCCTTCCCCTTCCTCTGAAGGAGAAGGCTGGTGAGACCACGCGACTATTTGAAACCAGTTGAACGCAATGTTCTAGCCCCTGTAACTTTATTAATATAGCATGTATTCACAAAATTCTTGCGGCAGCATGTTTACGAAGTAAAAGTGCACATATTTATCTTCACAACAATTTTTGGACCTTGGGGTTGTTTACTGGCCCTTTAACTAAAAACGGGTCTCGGACCTCGAGAAGACTAAGTTTGTCTAACGAAAAAGTAGCGCGTTTCTTTTGCCAGGTACCTATTTCCGAGAATATGACTCGGAAAGGAATGTAAACTTTGCAAGTTTTTGCATTAAAAAATAGGTCCAGGCTATTCTTCTTACTCTTTTGAATACTTTTGAATATGTTTCTGCATTCGAAAAAGTATTATACTGGATGATGTCCTCGCGCTTTGCATGAGCTTTTCGCCTTCCTTCAGCCATACAAGGAGGATCTAGATTTTACGTGCTGAATTGTATCGCCAAGTGCGCTTGTACACAATTCGTCATTGTGCACAACTTTACACTTCCTTTGAGTCTCTCTTGCTGAATTCCTACTCAGAAGGTACCTGCAATTGGCCTGGCAAGCTACCGAAGCACTTTAGATGCCTCAGCTGCACTACCTTCGCGAGCGAGTCAACAGTGTTCGAAGGAAAGAAAAGGGCAAAGTTCACGTTCCTGAAGGCCTCCAGCCGCCTGATGATGTCATTGAAGTCCTAGAGCTAGGGCCAAAGTTCGGTATTCAAAAAGAGAGGACAAATCCTGAACTCCTGGCTGTGATTTGTCAGGTGTCGCGACATGCTACTGAGGATGAGAAAGAAAGAATTACCTCTGAAGGAGTAGACACCATATCACGTTGTAAGAATGTTTGTTCTCACATTCCTGTAAAGCATGTTTTGTCAGACCTGGACAATTATTTGCTCTGTGTTTTGCAGGGAGATAAGGAAGGAGGCTTTGCGATGTTTTCACTTTCTTGCTTTTTAGAAAAACTTAATGAAGCTATTTCTGGAGTGTTCAATGTAAAAGTTGGCGTATCATTGAACAGAGTAAAAGCAAAGGCTATCCAGTTGTGCAAAAACACGAATGTTGTTGGAACTCTGAAAAGTATTCAAAAGAGTGAGAAGAATAGCCTGGACGTATTTTTTAATGAAAAAACTCACAAAGTTGACATTTCAATCCGAGTCACAGTCTTGGAAATAGGTACCTGGCAAAAGGAACTTGCTGATTTTTCGTTAGACAAACTTAGTTTTCTCGAGGTCTGAGACCTATTTTAGTTAAAAGCTCCGATAGTAGTTTAAGCTTCATGGAAGCTTATAAAAATGAAGGGATAAATATCTATATCAATAGACTTTTTTCAAGCAGACTAGCGCCGCCAACGGGCGCGCGAACGCTTATGGGAAAAGTTAATACGCTGCAGCAGCCCCCGCGACGAGTGCGCGGGCCTCACGCTTCAACTTTTCGTTTGCACCGTGCGAGCGCTTTTCTTATCAAGTAAACATGGCAAGGCGTGATGTATTACTGCATCAC